CTTGTGGAGGCGAGATTCCACGCTGATTCCCCCTCCACCAATGTAAAAAAAAAACGAAGCACACTCGACCACTTTGTTCCTGCTCCTGTTGCCATGAGCTGCCACAGACGGCTGGGGTGGTGTCATCAAAGACCGTGCCAAGAAACACGGCGCCTTGGCAGACTGCCCATGTCCGCGTTATCGACCAGCCTCAGGGTCAAACAGCCTCATTGGGGGAGTCTTATAAATGGCAGGAGGGCCAGAACTAGCCAATGGCAGTCGAGTTCCGCCTCCTCGAGCCCAGCAGACTTGTCCAGAGGCAGGAGGAGCCCAATCACAATGCAGAGGCCATGGAATGTTCCCAGCTAGTTCAGTGTGATCTGTGCCTGCGAATGCTCATTGTATCTTACCAGCACCACACATAAGAACACTGATGCAACAGTCTGGGATATTACAAACCGCCCTAGATAATGACGGGAGCTTCGGTGGCCTGCAGGGGGCGTGGAAGGGTGCTGTTCTAAAGCCCATTATTTTTAGGGGAGAGTTAGCAGCCTACAACTGCCAGAGTGGCACCACCACCTCTACTCCACCTGACAGGGGCACCGTAGACCCAACAGGGAGCCTCCTGGGGTGCAGGCGGCTCATTAATGCGTGCGGGCCGCGTGCTTCCGGCAGGCCACAGACGCCGTGCCCCAAACGGCTGTTCTTTTGCTGGGAACACGCCGACGTGTGTGGCTGAATAATTAAACAGAGCACAACACGGTTTACTAAACAATGAGCAGGAAAGAACGGAAACAAATCGGGTTGGGGGGCAGAATGAAAGAGAACGAGAGAGGGGGAGAGAAAACAAGAGGGGAAGAGAAAATGAGAGAAGGAGAAAGAAAAAGGGGGAGAGAGGACGAGAGAGGGCGAGAGAGAGAGAATGAGAGGAGGGGGGAGAGAGAATGAAAGGGTGGAGAGAGAGAGAACAAGAAAGGCCAAGAGAGAGAAAAAGAGGGAGGCCGAGAAAGAGAATAGGAGAAGGGGAGATGGAGGAGAGAGAGAGAGAGAGAGAGAGAGAGCCAGCCTGGCCACTATCTGAGGCACACCATGTGCTGGGGAATGCAGGGCCCTGAGACCTGCGGAGCTGACCAAGGCGCCACAGCTCCTGCCACATTACCACCATACCTGCCACTGCAAGAGATGTGTGGATGCTTATATGACCATGTGACTGCCGTCTTTGTTGGGGGGTATGAGAAAAACACAGGAGACCCCCCCCCAGCGAGCAGCCTGTGTGCCTGGCTGTGATGCAGCCAGCAAAAACAACTTGACTGTCGCTTTGTGTATGGTCATTTTCCAGTGGCACCGGTGATGCACATGGCTTGAGATTCAGAAAGATATGAAAGATGTTCTAAGGTCCACCAATACCAGCAAGGCGTTTCCACCAATCACACGTTGTTCTGCTCCTTACTTTACCTATGGATAACAGTTTAGTAAGTTGCCCACTTGTCACAACATGGATAAATGAGAGTTGGATGTATGGTGAAGTAAGAGGTCCACACAAGGAAACATGTTATTAACATCCCAGGGAAAAGAATCAGGTCAACTCAGAAGACAAAGTGCAAAGCGAATGAAACACTGTCAGTGGTAAAAACCACTCCTGCAACAGCACTCTGTACCTGAGACAGGGAGAAGCCTAAAACAAGGTGTCCATAAACAGACTCTGCAGGCACTGCATGTGATTGGACGAATACTCCTCACATGCAGACCAAGTGGCCAATAACAACATGTGGGAGGAGCTAGTAGGACATCAAAGTCCACCCACAGGCGAGACTGTTGTTCATCAATGTCCGATGCCCAACAAGACCCAATGGCAGCCATTAAAGGACCAGTGCAAGGCAGGATAATCCATTGATTGACAGCACACCATATGCCTGTTCACCAAGAGCTTTGGAGTTCAAGCTATTGTCACAAACGTTGGCAAGATGAGGGTTTCACACGCAAGCAAGATGCAAACACTGTGAAGCAAGATTTGAGGCACAACGAATACTGCAAAGCAGATTTTCCCAAAATTCACTTTCCCCCTTCATCCATTTGTTGCCACCCTGCCCCTTCCACCGCGCATTTGCACATAAATTATGTTCCACATGCTAAAATTTCAAAATCCCTTTTCTTATTACTACTCAAACAATGTTTTTTCTCCTCTCCCCACAAACTTCAATATACCCAATTGTTTTGTAATTGCCACTCTGCAGATACAGTTTCAGGGATAGAGGCTGTCCAGCACATCAGAGACCCAGACGGAGAGGCCAGCCAGCATGTCAGAGTCTCAGACAAAGAGACCTGATGCCACATCAGTCCCAGACAGAGAGGTCGGCAGGCGCATCAGAGTCCCAGACAGAGAGGCCGGCAGACGCATCAGAGACCCAGACGGAGAGGCCGGTAGGCACGTCAATCCCAGACAGAGAGGCCGGCAGGCGCATCAGAGTCCCAGACAGAGAGGCCGGTAGGCACGTCAATCCCAGACAGAGAGGCCGGCAGGCGCATGAAAGTCCTAGACAGAGAGGCCGACAGGCGCGTCAGAGTCCCAGACAGAGAGGCCGACAGGCGCGTCAGAGTCCCAGACAGAGAGGCCGGCAGGCGCATCAATCCCAGACAGAGAGGCCGACAGGCGCGTCAGAGTCCCAGACAGAGAGGCTGGCAGGCACATCAATCCCAGACAGAGAGGCCAGCAGGCACATCAGAGTCCCAGACAGAGAGGCCAGCAGGCGCATCAGAGTCCCAGACGGAGAGGCCGGCAGGCGCATCAGAGTCCCAGACGGAGAGGCCGGTAGGCACGTCAATCCCAGACAGAGAGGCCGGCAGGCGCATCAGAGTCCCAGACGGAGAGGCCGGTAGGCACGTCAATCCCAGACAGAGAGGCCGGCAGGCGCATCAGAGTCCCAGACAGAGAGGCCGGTAGGCATCAGTCCCAGACAGAGAGGCCGGCAGGCGCATCAGAGTCCCAGACAGAGAGGCCGGCAGGCATGTCAGAGTCCCAGACAGAGGCTAACCGGCAGGCATGTAAGGGTCTTAGACACAGAGGTCAGCATGAGCATTAGAGGCCCAGACGGAGAGGCCCGCCAGCGCATCAGTCCCAGACGGAGAGGCCCACCAGCGCATCAGTCCCAGATGGAGAGGCCAGCCGGCAGGCATGTCAAGGTCTCAGACAGAGAGGCCGGTGTGTCAGAGTCCCGGACGGAGAGGCTGTCTGGCATGTAAGAGTCTTAGATGGAGAAGTCGGTCAGCATCTCAGAGTCTCAGTAGTGAATGAGTGACACCTTTACCTTAGGACTTAAATTGTTCATTTAATGGGATTTTTCAAAAGTTATAGACCTTCATAAACTAAACTGAGCTGCCATACCTCCCTCAGCTTTTACCATTAACCTACAGGTGGGGGTGATGTTTGCGTCCCCCACAGTGGAATACCATATTCATTCTCAGTGCCACCTCACATTTCACCCTTAGTGGTGCTGCAATGTCATTCTGTTCATTGCTGGGGGGGGGGGGTTCCCTGAACACTAGACCAAGAGTAGGCAGTAAAAGGAGGAGCAAGCTGGCCACTCCCGGAAACAATCAGGACCAGTGCAAAACAAGCATTCTAGACATGCAGAAAAAGCACTGTGGAATCATGGACACACATATTCACAAGCTCTGAAACCAGTGCCCCCCCCCTGCTTGTCTTCCTTGTCAGACAGACTCATTCTGCATCACCCAGTACATCCGGAGGAGTGGTGGGGGGGGGGGAGTTCTGGAATACTAAGCCCTGAGTGTGCTGACCCCCAACCCCCCCCCCCCCCCCCCGAGTGTGCTGACCCCCAACCCCCCCCAGTACCTCCACTTTGCTGCCCCACCCAGAGGTGTTTGAGTTTTGGGATGGGCTGTGCCGGCCATCACCACAGAGTGAGGACTGTTCTGGTGTACAAACTGACACAGTGTGGTGTAAGCTCAGAGAGATGCCTTGTGTGAGTGCAGCGAGTAGGGGGGGGAGGGGGGGGCACTGCTCAGCCCAGGACATAACTGTCAGCTGTGTGTGACCCAGGACGGGGCTGGGAGGACTGCAGCAGACCTGCTACACCTGGTCAATCACAGAACTCGCACTGCCTGTCTGTTTCTCTGTTTGGGAATGATGGGTTAAACAATGCAGGGGGGGTGGGGAGTTAAAAGCATAGACCTTTGACTCGCGGATGCTCGGGGTGGGGGGACTGGGGGGGGTTTAATCGGTGCTGGCGTCCAGCCCTTCCTTTGTCTGACACTTCAGCAAGGCCGGAACGCAAGGCAAGCCCATCACCTCGGTGTGGCGCCCGTAACTCTAATGAACATAGCTCATAATCCATTTCGGGTCCGGTCACATGCCCAGGTTCTCCTGGACCACCCCCTTCCGCCACCCAATTTTTGAGTCACCAGCTGATTCCTAAGTGCCCCCTAGTGGCTACTGTGGGTAAAAATTAGTGATTCAACATGGAGACGTGAATGCTCTCAGATGTCTTTTAAAAAAAACTCCCCTCCCCCCGGTCCCTGAATATGTCCCCAAAGCACTCCCCATCCTTCCATTGTATAGTGAGTCTGCCTCTGGTCGTGCCCTATCAGCCTGTGCGCCTTCACACTCAGATGTGATCTGTGAGACCTTTAATAACCTGCTCCGTGCTACAAAACGTGGCCCAGCAGCATAGTGCTGTGAGCTCCTCCCCCAGTCACATGATCACAATGAGCAGATGACACGACTCAGCCATGGCGGGGTGAGGGGGATCATAAGTGTGACCTTGATCGCAGCCATGTGGAGGACAGCCATGGCCTCCGGCAGTGGGGGTGACACCCAAGCCCACCCACCCTCCCCAGGCTTCCATGAGAAGGCCTGAAACGGGGGTGAAGCTTCCATCACAGAGGCGGTTTGCTTTGATTTGGCCAACCTGGCCGGCATCCCAGCTTACTGTTCATCCCCATCCACACGACCGACGCAAATACCAACCAATAGCGATTAAGGAGTCCAGAGACAGACCTACCCCTTTTTGATGGCAGAGCTCTGACTGGTCCCTTCTGCAATCTATCAGCTCTTGGCAGTGCAACCCCAGCCAATGAGCATCAGCTGTGCAGGGTGTCAGTTAGAGGAGCCCTCCAAGGCAATCCTGCAGAGACAAACAGACAGAGAACCAAAGCACAGCATTAAAACCAGGAGCTACAGTGCTAATCGCTACAGACTGATGGGTGCATATGTGCTTCACCTAGATCACTACATGCAGAGCTAGGAATGGGGAAACTGTTTCCTAAAGAGGAAGTGACAGGTAGGACTACTTTGGAAGCAGCACTGTCTAAAATTTAACCCCGAAGAAGGCTCAGAAAACAGGCTGCTTCAGTCTGTCCGATTCCTTGAAATCCCGTATTCCAATCGGCGCAGGATATTCATGGTAAACGCCAAGGTGACATGAGAAGCTGCACCCGTCAGCCTCCAGTCGCTGGGCAACCAAAAAGGAGGCGTCACATGGATAATGTGCAGTCAAACGCGACTCCTGTGAAATAAGGAGCCCCAGCCCAACAGACCACTCAGCTCAATTATGAGTAACGGAACAGAACACAAGGGAACGCAATGGGATGAAACACACACAAGGGAATGCGATGGAATGGAACACACACAAGGGAACATACGCATTAGAACGTGATGGAATGGAACACATGCAAGGGAACGCGATGGAATGGAACACACTCAAGGGAATGCGATACGAATGGAACACACTCAAGAGAACGCGATGGAATGGAACACACGTAAGGCAATGCAATAGAATGGAACACACGCAAGGAAATGTGATGGAATGGAACACACACAAGGGAACACACGCAAAAGAACGCGATGGGATGGAACACACGCAAGGGAATGCGATGGAATGGAACACACACAAGGGAACACACGCAAAAGAACGCGATGGAATGGAACACACGCAAGGGATTCAAACACACTCAAGAGAATGCGATGGAATGGAACACACTCAAGGGAATGCGATACGAATTGAACACACTCAAGAGAATGCGATGAAATCGAACACATGCAAGGGAATGCAGTGGAATGGAACACACGCAAGGCAATGCGATAGAATGGAACACAACGGAATGGAGCCTGGAGTGATGTAACTGAGTGGAAAAATGTTAGGTAACGTTTCAACTTGAACCTTCTTGCTCTTTGACTATGGAAGAAACACTAGCAATACAGTCGGAATACTGTGACTTGAAAGCACAATCCATCCAGTCTACCACAGATAGTACAATTCATCTGGTCCACCACCGGGGTATGAGGCAATATTCATCTAGTAACTACACAGATGGATGCCTGATGTAGATGTTGATCTGAGCCTTAATGTCCCACTTAGGAGCATATGCTAGGGCAAGGAGCAGGGGGTGCCCTGGTCAGGATGCCAGTTCAAGACAGGGCACTTACACTCACATACAAAGGACAATTTAGAAATGCTATGTAGGGAAATCTCCAAGCAGAATAAGCCCACAAACATACCCATAACAAAACACCTTAACAGAACACCTGTCTGCATCGTTCTTCAAAAGTACAGGGGCTATGGACAATGGCAGTGAATCAGACAGTGCAGTTAACATCTGTCAAACATAATCGTACACCCGGGACTCGTGGAACTCTGGAGTTGGCCCAGACCTTAGACAGCATGCTTTTGGTAAAATCACTGCCACCCTACAGTCAGCACAACATAAACTGTTTGACATTCTCATCCATGCGATGGCATGGCATTGATACTCATAACATGGCTTACACAGATTACTCACATTATTAATCAGCAGCTAAATGCTGCACAAGGAGACATAGCAAAACAATACTCTTTGTGGATTTTCTATTATTTTGTGAATCCAAGCAAGCAAGCAAAACATAATCCAAACCCTAAGCAGACATAATTCATTCTGATATCTTGTCACTTGCTACAATCTTCATTAGGTAACAACATAAGACACATCACCACAGGTACACCGAATTATTTGCACATCATGAGCTAATGGCGCTGATGGAAATCAGCCCAGATTACACATTTAGTCCATATTATCTTTAAGTACTCTAAAATCTAGAAAAACCAACAGCAAACCAGAAAAGAAACAGGCCTTAGCATGTGTTCATTATATATACTGCATATAAGTACTGAGCCACAAAAACTACACCCACCTCACATAGCAGACCCACGTGGTGGAGCTGCCTTCGCAAACCAGCTGTCTGTGACACGTTACGCTGAACCTGCGCGTATATGCAACACCACACAACAATGACAAGCACGTGAGGCTCTGGGCTGGGCTGTTCTGCTTCTGGGCTGTTCTGGAGCCTGCAGTTTGCAGACCGTCGTCCCTCCGGTATTATATACCCCGACCCCTTTGGGGTGACAGGGTGACCCAGCAATGGGGGTGGGGTGGGATCGTATCACACCGGTCTGGCTCCAGCTCCCCTCCAGATGGCAGCAGCCAAGAGGGATGGAGCAGCACAAGGCTTTCCTAACCCTAAAGGTGTACTTCCCGGTCAGGCCACACGGTGCGAGTGGCCTGCTGCCCTGGTCAGACAGTGGATAAAACCCAGTGTAAAATGTGCTCCAGCGGTGAGCCAGCGCCAAACAGCCCAGGCAGGCAGCCCTGAGGCTGACAGCGAGAGAGTGATGCTGGGTTTTAGACCAGGGAGCGCCACAGAGCCCCTCCCAGGGACCTCTGCTGTCAGGAATATTAGACATAAGTGTGTGTGTGTGTCTGCATGTTTGTGTGCATCTGTGATGAACTGGGTAGGGGCTGGGTAGGGGTTACGGTCATCATGTTGGGATTAGGGTTTTCCCCCATAGAAATGAATGAGGAGTCCCCACAAAGATATAATTACAAACCTCTGTTTGTGTGTGTGTGTGTGTGTGTGTGTGTGTGTGTGTGTGTAGGCACATCCAGAAGCCGTCAGGAAGTCCCCAGGGTGGTGTAGATGAAGGACTTTCCAGCCCAGGGCAAAGCCCCCCTCACCACACACATACTGGTACAGTAAAAACAAGCCTCTGAGCTGAACCCCCCACCCCCCTTGCCCACTGATGTTCCTTAGACAGTCACACAGCTACTCAGTAGCATATGTCATTATGACTGGTAGAGGGATACAGAGCCGGGATGGACAGAGGATGGGGACAAAGATTGGCTGTGAAGGGGAGGGTGGCTGTCACAGCAAGGACAGCTCCCTAGTAAACAGCATCAGAGCGGAAATGACACAATGAACACAGGACGTGGTGAGGCGAGTGGCCCCTCCCAGGGAGGTCACCTGACAGCCTGGCCCGCCACCACAGTGACACTGTAGTCCTCAGCGTGGTCCCTCTGCTGTAAGAGACTCCTTAATCACAGACATATTAAATCAAAAACATAATGACAAGTGTGTCTGCGGATTTCCCGTCTTTCAGAGATGTACAGGTGTGCCATCGATATGCACTGCTAAACATCTTCCTCCACGCACATTATCCAGCACAGAGGCCCAAAGCCTACCACAGGACACGCACCAACACACAGCATCCCTCGTGTTCAGAGACACCAGTCCAACTTGTCTAATGCCTATCATACCAGAGGAAACCCTGCAAATGGTAAGAGTACACAAACCTCACAACCGCACAGAGCCAGGCCTGGAATCAGAGCCCCCGCCCTCAGGTTACGGTACTGACCGATGCGGTGGTACCTTTCTCTGTATTTATAAGTCGGCTTGTCATGCAGTGGAGCCATCTCAAAGCCAAGCTGGAATCTGAGACTGAGGCAGCAGGACACATGGCAGGGGCCAGAGAAGCTCCCAGCTCCCCCGCGGGAATCCTACCCTTAAACCCCTTCAGCGCTTGGCTCCGTAGAAGATCAATACATTGATCCAGGAGAAGAAGTACAGCCCCCCCCCCAACCTAATACAAGGGAACACCAACACCCTCCAGCAAGTGGAGACACACCTCCCCTAACGGCAAACTATGCACGTTTGGAAAATAAAGATGCCCCATTTTGCTACCCGGTTTTAGTAACTGCTGCATAACATTACCCAAATGTGAGCTTTACTGACGGTCATGTGGACCAGCGTGACATGCCTTCACATTGGCTCAGGCCCACAATGCGCAGGCACCTGCAGGTACGCACACATGCACGCACACATGCACGCACACATGACCACATGCACATGCATACACACACACGACAGAGGAACTCTTATTATTCGCAAGCATTACAGGATGGGTAGGCAGCACATTGGTGACCCTAAACCAGCAGCCTCCCCCAGCTGGGACACCCCCCACCCCCCCAGTCGCTGATGAGCCCTGGCTTTGTTGGAACAACAGCAGCCCTTCCCAGCGGCACCAGCAGCCTGACACCCGGCTGTCACACATGGAGCTGAAACCGGATCCCATCCGATCGATGGAGCTTCAGGGCGAGGCCTAATTGGCTGGCGCTGATCACAAAGCGCTGCTTCCCAAAGGCTTACGCATGCAGTCAGCAGCCCGGCTGAAAGTGTCATCTCTAAACCCCCCCACAGGTTCCAAAAACCACCTGGAGAGCCATCACAGGCTGAAAAGCATGCTTAGTATGGAGAAGAAAGGCCGGAAGCTCAGTGTCAACAAGATGGTCTGTCTGAAAAGACGGCGGGCGAATCGGACACGGCACCAAGGTGATGTCATTCCCTGGGGGGGGCTCCTGGACCGCGGCCCGGATGGCGACACCAGCTGCTAACTCACAGCAGGCCACTGCACTTTCTCCAGCACTGGCCAACCCGTCAGGTCACTGTGCTGGGGGGGAAGGGAGCAGGCAGGGCGTTCTGCACCCTATACAGATCTTTGGACACCACACAGGGACATCAGCTGCAGCAGACTTCCCCCCCTCCTGCCCCCTCAGATCAGGCTGACACCCCCCAGGAAGCAGCTTTAAGAAAGGGCAGATACCAAGTAGCACCAGTTTCTTTACCTCCATCACACCACAGCACCCCCCAGCCACGCCAGCCACAGCACCACCGTTCCTTGCCCGCGTGCATCTGAGTCAGCTTCTTCTCAGTCTGTCCGGAAGAGATCAGAAACCCAGTCTCCAACATGCAGCACAGATTCCCGGTGCTCCAAGCTGCGTCATATCGCGTTGCTGGGCTGAAGCCATGGCTGGACAT